TCAATGATCTATCAATAGGCCCATCAGATAAAAACTTTACAACCTGACAACCCTGAGTTCAACCCCTGGATACCAGATGAAAGAAGAGAACTGACCCCCAAAGTCGTCCTCTGATGCGTCCACGAACCTTCTGTGGCATACATGCATCACGCACACACACGCGCGCGCGCACACACACACACACACACGATAGATGAGAGATAATTTATTTACCGATTTTTATATGCCTGCATGCATATCTAGGTGAAGGTATCATATCTCAGAGTTACACACAGTTGTGAACTGCCATGGAATGCTGGGATTTGAACCCGGGTTCTCTGGAAGAGCAGTCGGTGCCCTCAACCACTGAACTAGAGAGATGAACAACTCTTAACCTGGTTATGTACCGACATTACGGTTCCTATGCCACTTAATAAGCATATTTTTCATGGAAAATCCTGGTATGACCAGTTTGAAGCTCTGGTCCTTAGGAATTACAAGCACAAAAGAAACATAAGACACAGTTACCTGGGCTTTTGTTGTTGTTTGTTGGAGACATGGTATCTGTGTAGCCCTGGCTGTCCTGGTATTATTTTCACTAGTACCGGCACTTAGGAAATGGAAGAAAGTGGGTCGTCTAGGTAAGAATCATTCCTACTCCCTAGTCCAATCCCACAACGACTCCACCTCCAGCTTTCAACCCACCATTCCACGCCCTCTCTACATCCCTGTCAAAGTGCTGTTAACAGACACTATGGAGCCATTCAAATCAGAGGACGAACTGAATGAAGCCTTCAAACACAGTGGTCCCACAGTCTGTGGAACAAATTCTTAAAATCTATGTTGCCCTGGGGTTTCTTACAAAGAGAAGAAATCCTTCATTGTCAAACAATGAACCTCATTCTACAGTAGAGGTAGTTCAGAAGAGCTAAGAATACGTATAGTATGTCTGAAGATATAGCTTAGTTGGTAGAGTGCTCACCTAGCATGCACTGAGGGGCTGGCTTCGATCCCTAGCACCACAAAAACTGGGCATAATGGCACAAGCCTGTTGAGAGACATACAAAGAGTGTCTTTGTATTATTCAAAGGCTGATCTCTGTACCGCAGAGAACTGAGTACTGTCCAGACTTTGGTAATGTTACTTTTATGAGGCATCACCTGTCTCAGTGTCTTGTAAACATCTTCTCCACCACCTCCTGATTGGTTTAATAAAGAGTTGATCAACCAATTTGCTGGGAGAAGAGAATAAAGAGAGACTGTCAATCTCAGTCAGAGGAGTCCCAGAGAGACACAGGGAAAGGAAAGTGTAGAGAGACCATGAGGAGTTACCATGAGCAGGTCACTAAGGGAGTCTCCATGAGGACACACATAGACCAGAACAAACCAGGACAAGACTCAGATTGAAGGTAAAGGAACACATTGCTGGGAAATAGACAGCCTTAGAGAGTTAGAATAGCTCAGAACCTGCCCAGCTTAAGATTGTAGCTCGTTAATAAAAATACCAGGTCTCTATGTCTTTATTTGGGAGCTAAAAGGGGCTAGAGTGATGCAGAAACATCCTGTGGTTATTTGGGAAAAAGAGGGGCATAGGAAACCTGCCAGGAATTACTTTTACACAAGTCTCTAAACCCAGAACCTGAGGTGGGGTACATGGATCAAGAGTTCAAAGTCAGGGGCTGAAGAAATAGCTCAGCAGTTAGGAGCACTAGATGTTCCTAGAAGACCAAGTTCAGTTCCCAGCACCCACATGGCAGCTCACAACTATTTGCAGCTCCAGTTCCAGGGGATCCAAAGCACCAGGCATGTACAGGAAGCGCATATATACACATGCAGGCAAAAGACCCATACACATAAAGTAAATCTTTTTTAAAACAAACAAACAAACAGTTCAAACTCATCCTCAGCTACATAGCTAGTTCCAGGCAATCCTGTACTACAAGAGACCTTGTCTCAAAACACCAAGAAAAACAGAAAAAGAAAAAATTTGACCCAAATTCCATCTACTAGTGATTATCCCATGTTACACTAAGCACCACTCTGAAGGAAAAATCAGCTCTAAAATTCTGCAAACACAAATCTATGAATGTACAGAAAAAGGTACTATTTCTCTCACCAGCTACAGAAAATAAAGAACAAAGAACCTACAAATCATTATTTATAAGGTGGGGGGAGAGGGCTGGTGATGTAACTGAGCTGTAAAGTGTGTCTGCTTAGCAGAAACAATGGAGTTCTATTAGCAACACCACAAATAGAAAAAGGTGGGGGGGGGGTCATTTTACTTTATCAAAACAAATACAGAGAGAGTACTAAAAGACATACTTAGGTACCCAAGAGAAAATGCTCACTGACTATTTTTTTTTTTTTTTTTTTTTTTTTTTTTTTTGGTTTTTCGAGACAGGGTTTCTCTGTATAGCCCGGGCTGTCCTGGAACTCACTCTGTAGACCAGGCTGGCCTCGAACTCAGAAATCCGCCTGCCTCTGCCTCCCGAGTGCTGGGATTAAAGGCGTGCGCCACCACCGCCCGGCTCACTGACTATATTTTAATTAAAGTAAAAGTTCTACATCACAGAAAAAGGTTTTCTACGTAACACTATTTCCAGACACTGAAATCAACTTTGCTATACAATATTTACTGTATGGGTGTCTTGCCTGCATGTATGTGTGTGTAGTGTGCCTGTGCAGTGTGCATGCTGGAACTAGAGACATACACATTCACACAAAGATACATGCATGTGCAGACAATTAAAAATAAAATGAAGAAAAAAAAAAAAGACATGAGCTGAAGAGATGGCTCAGCAGTTAAGAGCACTTGTTGCTCTGGCTGAGGAGCCAAGTTACTATATGGGTTATATGATTCACAACCATTAATAAAGGAAAAAAAAATGTAAATGTCAAAAACCAAGTGGGGTATGCTAATGCTTGATGCCTGTAATCCCAATATTTGGGAGTCTGACACAGGGAGATACTGGGATCGAGGTAAGCCTGAGTTACATAGAAAGACCCAGACTCAACAAAAATAAATAGCAACATTAGAAAGAAAATAACAACATAGATATAAATAAATGGACAAACACATTTTTCAAATGATAGTGGGCTTTGCACCCTCTAGTAGCAAAGTCAGATTATGTTAAAACCCAGAGTAAATCACAGTTAAAACTCAGACAAAGCCTGGGAAGTATGAGCTGACAATGAACCAACAGTGATGACTCAATAAAGTGTCCCTTAAATGTTCATCCTGGAGGATTTAAGACCTAAAGTTACTTCATTCTTGATTCTCAAATCTGTAAGACCGTTCTCGAAGTCCAGCCAATTCAACTGCCTTTTTCTGGGCAAGCAGTGCCTCCCACATGGCCCAGGACAGTCCTTACAGCTCCCTGACAGGAAGCAGGCTTTAGAAGTCCTTTCCTTCCTTCCTCTTCTAGCTGCTGCTTTTCTGGTTTTAGAATTTCAAACAAAGAAAATACATATTGGCTCCACAGCTAAGAAACGCCCTCTTTCTCAGCAACTTCCTCCTCGGATTTTCCTCCCTAACACTGACATAAGAGAACAATACCCACAGCTGGACCTGCTATTTTGATTAACTCAAAGCTCTTAAGGTTCGGAAAGCTTAAGGGCTAAGGTACCCAGCTACTCCTACTCAAAGTCCACTGCCTTCGCTCATCTACACGATAAGGAAAGTACAAAGAAAGAAAGGCTACGCTTGAACACAGGCAGGCCATTGAAACTTTCACCCCAAGGAACCCAAAGAAATTATACAACAGATGGGTAAATTCTCCCTCAAAATAAAACGCAGCCTTCTTACAGAGGAGAGAAAGACACTCTGATGACGCCACCCTGAGCCCAAACTCAAGTCTATATACACCCTAAATTGGTGAACTTCCTTCTACAGGACACCTGCCTGGGCCTCAAACTGAATCCTCTGGCTGTTCTGACACACTTCGAAGTGACTTTTAACACTTAGAGATGGCCCTTTCTAAGTCACAGAGCGAGAAAAGGAGACGGACTTATAATAATCCTGAGCTCAAGACCTAGCCTGTCTCTACACCAAAAGTAAAATTAAATCTTTAGGCTAGACCCCTCCCTCCATTTATGACAAAGCAAACTTTTTAAGAGAACACTAACTTATCCCTGCCCAGGTGCTTCCCAGAGGAAACACCCTCACTTTGGTAAGCACCACACATTACTGTGTCACCCTGAGCAAGTTACTTCTCTGAAATATACTTGGCTTCCTCACCTGTAAATTTTCAAGGACAGCTGGAAAAACTAAAGTGCATATACCTAAGGTTTGGCACATAGTAGGACAGCCATTGACATTTTCTTTGGCTTTCTTTCTCTTCGCTTCTGGGCTTAAATATCAACAGTAATCCCAAAGGCTCCAAGAATGTCCACATCATCTCTGAATCTATGAACGACTGTATAAAATCTCCTCATCTCATAAAACCACAGGACTTGGCCCTACTCCGTCACGATCTGGGTAGCACCCATGCTTTGGTACAAGTGGCCCGAAAGCCGGGGTTCCTTTCTCTAGGGCTCATTCTGTGCACGTGTGCGCGCTCACACACTTATACACACAGTCCTACACCCCCACCCCCCAGCCTAGCAGCCGAGGGGTCCAAGAAGATCACCTCAATTACTTTATGGCCCAAATATGGAAACTGAGGCTCAGCCTGGAGAAGAACTTGTCCAAGAGCTCGGGGAGCTGCTGAGACCCAACTCACATCCTTTGGTGAAGTCTTTTTACAAATAGTAAACTGAGGCCCAAAGACGGAAGTGACTTGCTCAAGAGCACACAGTGGGTTGGTGGCAGGGCCACAGGTCGTCACACTTTCGCCGACCCTCCCTAGTCTCAGAAGGGCACTCTGGGGCACTACCACCCCTGAGGTGTCGCCACAGCGCTGACAACACGCGAGTCGTAACAGCGGCAGTCAGAGCGGACACCGGGTGGCCCCGGACCCTGCATGGACGGCCGGGCCGGCGCTCGCGACTCACCGGGCGCGCCCAGGGGGACTTGTTGCTCACCTGACCTCGCGCAGTCGCCCCCAGCGACATGAAGGGCTGGGCAGCCGGTCCGTGTCCCCACGGAGTACGCTCCAGCACACCGCTTCGCGAGCAGCTACACAGCCGGACGCCCCCTTCAGCGCGCTACGCCCCCAGCCGCACTCCACCGGCCTGAGTCCGCCATTACGCGACTTCCCCGCCCCGGGACGCAGCCACACCCCGCCAACCGTTCTGATTGGCTCCCTTCCCCACCCGCCCTGGGCTCCCAGCTATCCCATTGGTCTGAATCCAATGCCAATTAAATAAGTACGCAAAAGACGTATTCAAAGGCAGTGTCCCGGGAACTCCACCCGAGCTACTTCCGCAATCGGAGTAAACAGAGGGGAGGGCAAACCAAGTGAAGTGGAGATGGGAATAAAGGTAAATCGACGCCCAAGTTCCAGTACAAAAATCTCCGCTAAGAAAATGAAAGACTTCGTCTAACATGTGTTGAGAGAGGAATTATTTTTATTAGAGTCCAGAGAGCCAGTATGTTTTAGTGTAAGGAACAGGCCGAGCCTATGAACTTTCTGTGGACACCCCTCAAGTTGCAGATAGTTCTGCCCCTTCACGCCTTGTCCCAAGCGGGACCGAAAGTCGGGTGGGGGAGAGTGAGTCATAGACTTCAGCTCACCCCAAAGGATAGGTATGCGGGTGAAGTTTGCATCCTGAGATTGGAAGCTAGTTCTGAGAGGCCACTGTCAGGTGAGCTAAACACCTGTCACTTTACTCTGCAACTTCAGACAACTCCTCCCCACCTAGTTCTCACTTTGTTCTACAAAATAGGTGCAGTAGGCCCTCTCCCAGTCCATGAAGTTGGAAAGTATGAGTATACACGCCCAGGTGGCTTATTGAATACAAAATGTTGCAGCTGGGTGACAATGTGACGAGTCAAGTTTAGCATCCTAGAGTATCTCTGTATCGCAGGCATTGGCCTCTTACAGAAGAATAGAGCATAGGCAGGCTCAGTTATTGGCCACGTCTGCCGCGCTCTTTGCAGTATACTACTGAACTTACTTTTAGAAAGGGCGCACAGACTGGGCGGTGGTGGCGCACTTTAATCCCAGCACTTGGGAGGCAGAGGCAGGCGGATTTCTGAGTTCGAGGCCAGCCTGGTCTACAGAGTGAGTTCCAGGACAGCTAGGGCTACACATAGAAAGAAACCCTGTCTCGAAAAACAAAAACAAAAGGAAAGGGCGCACGGTGTGAGGGAGGGGGGGAGAGAGACAACACATGGCGCAGTCTGCTTTGAAAGAATGATGACCTGAGTTTGAGAACGCAGATTCAAAACAAAACAAAGCCTAACAGGCCGGATGATGCTGGCTGCAATAGTATCGCTGGGGAGACAGAGACAGGCAGAGCGCTAGAGCTCACAGTCTAGCCAGCCTAGCCTGCTTCTCCAGTCTAGGCCAATAAGAGAGCCGGTTACAAAAACCAAGATACAAGTTGCCTGAAGAACAGCACCTGAGGTGATTCTCTGGCCTGCACAGGTACACCCTCACATACAACATACACACACCTCACCCTAAATATGTGATAAAATTTCCCCACAGTCACCCGGTTGACTGAAAATGACCACAGAACTCAAACTTACACCACTTATTCCTGCTTTTTTGTTGTTGTTGTTTTGTTTTGTTTTTTGTTTTTCGAGACAGTGTTTCACTGTGTAGCTTTGGCTGTCCTGGAACTCACTCTGTAGACCAGGCTGGCCTCGAACTCAGAAATCCGCCTGCCTCTGCCTCCCAAGTGCTGGGATTAAAGGCATGCACCACCACTGCCCAGCTCTAAATGAAGATTTTCACTGGGGCCTACGTAGGGTGGCCAGATGCTGGATCATTTTTACTTTTATTTTTGGAACAGGGTCTCTCTATTATTTAGCTCTTGGCTGTCCTGGAATACTATGTAGGCCAAACTGGCCTGAAACTTCCAGGGATCTTCCTGCCTCTGCTTCCCCAGTGCTGGGATTAAAGGCATGTGCCAGCACTAGGCATTTCCAGGTCTTTGATCAGGTCTGTCCACTCTTGGAACTGAGCTCTGGCCATCAGGGACTGCTTTGGTGTATATTTCCAAGTCTTTTTCCCTTCCTGAAGCTTAAGACTTCAGAAAGGCAGATACCCGCCAAGTAAGCAGAGCCAACAGGGCCCCAGCAGCCACTGGATTGGTGACTTCTGGGCTTGAATTGGGACACGGCATCTGACAAGTGACTGTTTAAATCCCGGTGTGACTGTTAACTGAAGGAGAGCAGCTGTGTAAATGACAGTGGCTTTGAGATCAGACTGACCTAAGATGGAAACAGAACTCCACCACTCCCAGTCTCTCTATGCTTCACTGACTTGTTCTCTAAAACATGGACACCAGGGGCTAAGAAACGGCTCAGTGGTTAAGAGCATTTGCTGTTTACAGACAATCCAGGTTCAGTTTCTGGCACCACAAAGTGGGTCACAGCTACCTGTAACCGCAGTTCCGGGGGCTATGACACCCTCTTCTGACCTCCAAGGGCACTGTATATACGTGGTATACATGCATGCAAAGGTGAAAGCAAACATGCACATAAAATAAAATAATTAAACCTAAAAAAAAAACTGTGGGCAGTTGTGAGGGCTCAGTGAATTAATGGTGGAATGAATGGGTGGGCAAAGTTCCCAGTAGCCATTTGTTCATTAAAGAATTCATCCATTCAGTAGAAACTACTGAGATGGTTCAACGGGTAAAAGCGCTTGCTGCCAAGCCTGATAACCAAAATTCACTCCCCAGTACCCACCTGGTGGAAAGAGAGAATCAACATTCATGCATGGACCTTGGTGTGTCCAAGCCATTACACATGTACACACACACACACAAATAAATGTTTAAAAACTGCTAAGCACTCACGATATACAAAGCACCATGGGAATGGACAGCTCCAACGGTGAGCAGAACAGACTCAGGCCCTCATGGAACTTAGACTTAAAATTAAATACATGACCAGACTCATGAAAATACACCCCAGAAAGGAACAAGAAGGTAGAAAGCAAATGTTTACCAGAGTGAATGTTAGGATGGATCAGGTCAGAGGAAGCATCTCTGAGCTGGTGATATCTGGGTGACTTGATAAACAGCGGGGAGGAGTGTCTGCCCATAAATGAGTTGGAAGTCGGAAAAGGTGGAACACATCGAAAGATGGGGTGCAGAAGGAATGAGGCCATAGAGATAGAGGATAGAGATAAGAGAGGCAGGGCAGAGTAAACGTGACCTCCAGATCCTGTTATTGCTAAATGAATATAAGGATGTTACGGGGGAGGGGACCTGGCTTTGAAAGTGGAGCTGTTCTCCTAGGATCTCAGCACTGCACTAAAAGGACTCTTCAAGGTGGACTCTCTTGGGTTTGAACCTTGACTTTTAGCACCGCCCCTGGGCTTGAATGACCTTGACCAGTCACCAAACCTTGCTGTACCTCATCTACTCTTTGGAGGAATGAAGACTGGATATGATAGAAGGTCATAAGGTAGAGGTGGTGATTTAAGGAGGAAATGGGAGTTTGCCACATAAAAGGTACTGCATCAGTGGTGCTTGGTTGACTCAGCATCCAGGGAGGTCAGTCTGAAGCAGCAGATCCAGACCATGGATTGAGATAGAACGGATACAGACATCTATGCCCAGGCCATGTTGCCTTCTGATCTTAAGACTTTCAAGCCAGACAAACAACTTCCTCAATGTGAGATTTTGTTATTTGGTTCTTGTTGTTTGAGGGTGTTGTTTATTTTGCTTGAGTCCTGGGATTACCTATGTGTACCACAAAATCTAACTATGGCTTTGGGCAGGGTATTTCACCTGTTTGTTTCCTTATCTGAAAGATATGGATCATAGCTGGGCACTTTCTCTCTCTCTCTCTGTGTGTGTGTCTGTGTGTGTGTGTGTGGAGAGAGAGAGAGAGAGAGAGAGAGAGAGAGGGAGAGAGAGAGAGAGAGAGAGAGAGAGAGAGAGGTAAGTACCTGCAGAAGACAGAAGACTGATATACCCCTGTACCTGGAGTGAAGGGCAGCTATCATTTGCCCTCCTTCCCCAACATAAGTACTTGTGATGGAACTCAGGTTCCCTGGAGGAGCAGCAAGCCCTTTTAACTGCTAAGTCATCTCTCCAGCCTGATACTATGTAGCCCACATTAGCCTCAAATCCCTAATAATCCTCCTGCCTCAGGCTCATGAGTATTGGCATTACAGGTATGTGCCACTGTTCCTGGTTTAATGGTGCACACTTGCAATCCCAGAACTGTGGCAGGAATTCAAGGTGCACCTGGACTATATATAAAGCAAGTCTGAATCTAGTTTGGCCTGTACAGGGACACCTTGTTTCAAAGTAAACAGAAAGTAAGGGTTTTAATTGTTTCTGGCCTAGTGTGGAGGGAGAAGCAAATGAATCTCTCTGAGTCTGAGGATAGCCTGGTCTACATAGTTCCAGCTAGCCAGGCTACATAGTAAGACTCTGTCTCAAAAGAAAATTACTATAACTTCTATTTCCCAGAGCTATACGGAATAAATGTGACTGAGCTGGGTTTGAAATCACAGCACGTAGGAGGCTGAAACTGGAAGATCTGTAATTTGAGGCTAGCCTGGGCTACACTATGAAACCTTGTCTAAAAAAAAAAAGTAGATGTATGAAACCTTGTCTAAAATAAAGTAGATGTATGAAGTGAAATTTTCTGGTTTCTCTGTAGACTCAGTTATGTCATGTGAGTTTTTTCTGGAAACTGTGTTATGGCAAAAGGTTTTGCTGAGACAGACACATGGGTGGATGTTTTGCTGAGAACAAACACATGGTGTTTTCTGGAAGCTGCCTGGAAAAAAGGCATGTAATGTTTTTCTAGAGCAGACACCCAAGAGAACATGTGATGTTTGGAAAGAGTATAAGTATAACCCAGCAGACAGTGGACAGCACTGTGGCATCGGATCTCCTTGCCACTCTTTGCTGGGCTTTGCTGCTGCTGGTCTTCACTGACGACAGTGCTGTGGCATTGATCTGCCTTACCTTCTTCGCTGATCATTGTTTGCTGTAACTTCTTAGAGAGAAACCCACCAAAAAACTTCTCACAACTGCCACTTCTTCAAACTCATGCCAATTGGCAGAGCCTGG